AAAGTAAAGAAGACATGGCAAAGAAGCATCTGCAATGTCAATTTTAAATATGCCCCAAAGGGAGACATTTCATGAAGATTCCGACACAGACAGTATAATACGAAACCTAGAACAGAGACACTTTAGGGATGCCCCTAACAACAGACGTTTCACAAATCCCTCTGAAGATATTTACAGAGGCCCATAACACACTTCCATGGAGGATCTTTAAGAGATACATCTCTTGGGAGCCCCTGATGAGAGATTTCACATAGCACTTGAAGGAAAATTCATTAAAGATATTTCTCTGGCCAATGAAGAACAATATTTTGAGTTAAGGAGACATTTCATGTATCAGGTGCATTTTATGTTCAGTATACACCTTTGGTTAGTACAATGTAGTCAGTTGATAAAAATGCACAAAAATCAACAATAGCTCCGAAGCTTCTTTTTGAGCGGAGAGTTGGGAGTCAAACAAAATTAATAAAATTTCAAAGAATAAACTTAGAAAGCGGCAACTCCACAGAGTAGCAAATCCCAACGAACGATAATGTTCACGAATCTGTATGTCACAATGCAATATTAACCAACGTCACATTTATGACAATCCTATGGTTTTTCATTTTGTGTGACTATTTTATTGTTGCGAATATTAATGTTGAAATAAATCTTGTTGAAATTTATCTGACTATTCAATGTTCGCTGGATAATTCCCCATTAATCCACTCATGGATACAGTTATCCCGTGCCAGGACTATAGTCCTGCATTGAGAGCATTCTTTTGCCTGTACGATTACAACTTGGGAGAATTATCTACACCCCTTACACTTAAGATACCTATACTTCAATTGATTCCTGGGTATTTTAGCATTCTTTTCGTGTAGTTGAATCCACAATTGTCTGGGTATATCGGCAGAACGGGAACATTGTTCTTTTTCATCGAGAGATATTCCATCACTAAATTCCAAAATGGCGGTTGGATTTAAAAGGGGATTCCCCGTTTGACTGACCCGGAAGTGGCCCGGAAGCACCAAAAATGGAGGAATTTGACGTTTGAAATAAGTTAAATATTACACGCAAATATTGTGATTAAAAACGAAAATTTCTTTGTTCCGCCGATAAACCCAGACAATTGTGGATTCAACTACAAGAAAAGAATGCTAAAATACCAAGGAATCTTTTGAAATAGGTATTTTAAGTGTAAGAAGCGTAGAAAATTCTCCCATGTTGTAATCGTACAGGCAAAAGAATGCTCTCACTGCAGGACTATAGTCCTGGTACGGGATAAGATATCAGTATCTTCACTAAAGTTTCTTGGTTTAAAAAAACCACACTTTGAAGAGATCTTTAAGTAATATTAGCAAAGTTCAGCTCTAGGCAGCCATTTTGAATTTTTTGGTGCACGAATCAGAAAAACAATAGCATAATTGTGATCTACTCTAAAATTCCCTCAATTTGAGGATAATATAGCTGTAGTTTGAAGAGATCAGAAAATTATTGCGAAGGCAGCCATTCTGAATTTACAAGGCCAGAATCAAAACAATGATATAATATTTGCAATCTACTCTAAATTGTCTTTCATTTGAGTATAATAAAGCTTAATACTGGAATGATTCCTGTTTTCCCCACCCCTCCCCCCATAAACAGCCACTGGGAATCAGGCTGAAAAACACAGAATATGTGTGAAATGAATTGATTTATTACTACCAAAATGTCAAACAATAATATTTATTAATTTGGTTTAAAAATTGCAGATTTGCAAAAAATCCTGCCATTTTTTGCGTAAAACTATTTACCAATATACATCTTTCTACCAAATATGAAGAAAATCCATAACAAGCCAATCAACATGCCACATATCAAACTAAAACCTACCAATGTAAGAATAAAATATTAAATATGAATAATGAGCACTCTTAGCGAAATGTGTTCATACTTCTATTGGACATGCACATATTATCAAAGGTGTAGCAACCATTTTACCAGTGCACACATGTATGTAAAGCTCAAAGTGTTCGGGGCAACCCAAGTATTCTGACTTGACCAAAGTTTCTGGGTTTACTTGGTACTCAATTTATCATATATACTAGATACGTTGAGTATGTACAGGGTGTTCCAAAAGTAGCAGGACTTGTGCTGACATTTTGTCAATTTTGCACCGATTGTTTCAAATTTTCAAAAATTGTACTTTGAAGTTTTGCAGCTAAAATTGTAAAGTTTCAGAAAAAATGATAAAATGCAGGTAGAGTTACATGACATCACAATACCCGGGGCAACTTTTTCCTGAAAATGTGATATTTAACATTATTATATTACTGAAGAGAGTATCTAATTCACCTATTATAATACAATATTTCTTTTCTATTTTATTAGTTGCTTTGTTGTAAAGGTGTTGCTATACAACTCAAATTCAAGTATAATTTCATAATAATAATATTTATTCAATTTCCTGTAATATATCTATGTATAACAGTCTGAACAATTCACGGTTGAGTTTTTGAAAAGATCCAATTTGAAGCCAGTCATCCACCTTGATAATGCGCCTGCCCGCAGATCAGCATTAAAGACCATGCAGCTATAGAGGAGCTAGGTCTTGAGGTCTAAAACCATGCACCATACTCTTCTGATCAGGCATGGAGAATGGAATGCTTATCAGTGCTGTAAGATCTTTAAAGATGAGAATGACCTACTTTAAATTGTCCTATCGACCCTGCGTGACATGTCCTGAAATGGGTTCACTCATGTGTTTGAGTCATGGATATGGAGTGCCACTCTTCTACTGACCAAAGAGGAGCCCACTTTTCAAAGTAGAGGATACATAGGAATATCAAATGATTTAAAGCAAATGTAATTCCATCAAGTTGTTGCATTTCAACTTTGATATGGGGTGTACAAAATGTTTAATGTCTCTAACTTTCTGCATGGGATGTTGTCCCAGGTATTGTGATGCTATGTTACCATAGCAACCATAACTCTACCTGAGTTTAATATTTTTTTGTTGAATCTTTGCAATTTTAGTAACGATACATGAAAGTACATAATGTGAAATTTTGAAGACGATTGGTGCATATTTAACAAAATGCTAGCACCAGTCCTGTTACTTTTGGAACACCCTGTATGTGTATACTTTGCGTACATGTAGCATTGCCACTGTTATATTGTACTGTACATTTAAAATTAAATGGGAGTTTGAGACCCATATAACTAAAATCATTGCCGTAGCTACTAAGACAGGGGGTGCAGTGAGGCAATTTCGTCTCTCAAAGAGGCAAATGCTTTGTGACAACGAGGCAATTATTTGTGAGTGTGGCAAACATTTCGACCCTTTAATATAGTGCATGTTATAACATAAGGCAAATGTGAACTGATAGTCTTATAGTACACACTGGCGGATGTGCAGGAAAAATTAGGCACAAATTTTTAAAATTTAAGGCCAATATTTTGATAATTTGGCCTAAAAAGGTGCAAAAGAACAAGTTATGCCCAAAAAGGCCCAATTTTGGAGGCCCTACAAAATCTTTAGGGCCTATTTAGGTTTTATAGATTCTAACTACATTTTATATATTGTCTATCTCTGATATTATGGCACTGCCTGCACAAGGAGGTGCAGAAAGGTAATTTTTCTATCAACGAAGCAATTTTTTGTCAGTGAGGCAATTTTTGTCAAATACCGTTTTCACCCTTTATATGCTGCACATAACATAAGGCAAAAGTGAACGGCTAGTCTTATATGGTGCAGTACATGAAATAAGTTAAGTCATCAATGAAAAGCAGCAGGAAAACTCAAGGTTCATCGAAATCTGTAGCGATCCCCTGGCTTTACTCGAGTCTCTAGCTTACAGCTAGACGAAACTTCATTGATTTTGTATGTACTGTGCTACACGCACCTACACGCACCTAGAACTCATTTTTAATAAATTTTATAAATATTTTTAAGAATATTAATCATATTTAGGATAAAGCGTTGATTGTCTGGATTTAGATATTTCAAAATTTCATTTCGGAGTTTGACACATGGTGAAATTTTCTCGCTGTAGCTAAAAATGGCTTCCGGTTCTGGACGTGAATAACATTTGAAATTATTCTCGCTTAAAGAAATCAAATATAACAATAGATTCAGACGGGGATGTGAGCTGATGTTCTTCAAATCTATACATAAAGGTATATTTCATATTATTATGCCATATTTACTGTGTGTGTGACACAATGATTTACAATATTTATAATACTAAGGCTGCTCAATCTTCCTCCTCAAAGCCGGAATATAGAGGCTTTGGACCGAAGTAACCCTGGCTATATACTGATGTGAGATGCTGCAGGATCGGGACTATTAAATATACACCTGACCATCAATCTGGTTTATATCTTATTCAAGGATCAAGTTATCAACCTACAAACAATCTATAAATCCACAGAGTCTTGTCTCTAGAAAGCCCATAATACCATGGACATGAAGAAATTCCAAGCGACAGGGATGGATTGGAAAAGGCATTAGTCTGACAATTTGTCATCGCAATGTACACAGTGAAACGCGCGTCATTGTGGTTCCTTTTGGATGAAAAGCCAGTCAGCGAAACACATCTTTATAGAGTCTATTCACTTATTGAACAGTGATAATCCCAAACAAAGTTTTTTTCTGTCCAATTAGCCTACATACAAAATAATAAACATCAGACATCACATTGTAAGAAAATGTTGATTGACTTTACTTTTGATCAACTGCTAACTGTAACTAATCTACAGATGATTTGAAAACAAATTAATAATCAAAATGTTCTTGATTTCCGAAAGTATTACCAGAAAATGACAAAAGTGTCACATATTTGCGGAATTCAATGTTTCATATACGCACAATCATCCAGCACAATCAACTTCAAGATGGTGGTCGCAAAATGTGACCTGTTGGCACGGGTTGAGAAAACATTGCCATTTTACATCAACATCTCAATAATAAGCATTATGTAACTATGAAATCAATAACTGTGTTATGTGGGTTCTATTATGGAAGTTGTAATACTTACTACAATTCTCAAGAAACTGCAAAATTTTGACGTGAAGCGATTGCAATTTCGTCAATGTTTTTTTCAACAATGCTGGATTCTGGTGCATCATGGGAAATCACGAATCAATAAATACGGGAGTCTGGGAGTGGCGGGAAATTTGAATGTTTTGAAAAAGTTTCTTAAAGTGAATATTTGTTCTTTGTGGTTTCAGATAAACTAACTTTCACTTATCACTGTGCTTATAACTCTTAAAAAGTTCTCCCATTAATGATTGCTCCAAAATACGACCATGTTATATCAGAGAAAATAATCAATTAGTCCAAAATTCTCCTTGGTGCTAGCATGGGCTTTCAAGAGAAGGGTAGGCAACTTCCCATATTTCATACAGAGCCATTGCCTTGGGTTTTCAAAAGTGGAGAGTGTACACATTCCAACAAAAATCCTATTCTGTACTTTTTATGTATGATTGAAGAAATAACCAAAAAATAAAAACTTGATTATGTTCATACATGTTGATAATTCAATACAAAATGGAATTCATCATGATATTTGCAGTCTATTTGCATTAAGTTTTGGCTTACCCGACTCATTGCCTTTCAATGCTTTGCCAGTATTCTAGGATCTCGAATATAAGCTTTCTCACTCCAGACTTTATTCATATTGCAAGCATTCATGTACAAATCGTGTATTTCTGTACTTTTCCAAAGGATTTAAACTTTTAAAGGTTTTCAATTTTTGATCCATTTAAAGTTCAAAACAAGATTTTTGACTCTTTCCATGGTATGACTGAATCAGCTAGTCTTAGTGCATTATTCATATCAAGAAAGAGAAGCGACAGAGTTTACCCTTAATTCTGATAGGGTTTCTACACTTCAATGCACAGTCTTATTTTTCCCTGACCATGATGTATGGAATAGTGAACATTCTATAAAGGGCAATCTTAAAGTGGTATTCTGCGTTAAAGTTAGCACAATTCAAAATGAGGTGTATTATAGCCTTGATCAAACATAAAATTATTTGATTTCTCTGACTTGATCAATATTGATCAATGATGATAGAATCCTATTTTGAACAATGCTTGATGTCTATTCATGGTCAATGGTGTTGATCCATATCAAATATATTAATTTAACAGGTTATTAGTCACAAAAACCATAGAGTTCATAATAGCAAAACATTTATTTACATATTTCTATTACAAAGTTATTCATGTACTCCAATAAATACATGCCACATTTTTCAGAAATAGTTAAAGTCCCCATATAAAGTTTAAACCACTTTGGATAAAACATGTTTTCAAACATTACACGGGGACTTTAAATATGAAATATAAAACATATGGTGTATACAAAGCAAATCATGAGGTCACTATTAATTTTCTAAAATTAAATTAATTGGTTCCAAATGTACAAATTCAAAACATTTCATTACAATAGTGAGATGAGTAAAGAAAATGAGTGAACAGCCATCTATGAGTTCTAGTTCCCATTATTGTAATTCATGTTTTCACATACCAACATGGATTTAGTTAGGCATGTGATCGTATTGTGTGATGGATGCCACTAAAGATTCAGAGATTCAATGGGTTTAGAATATGAACCATTTCAGCAGTATTACCAGAACTTAATAAAAAACAATTGTTAGATCTCTGTATTGACTTGTTAACAATGGTGAAATGCAGATGTAGAAAATGTAATTGTGTTCTGGGGAAAGGCTAAATAAAATTTTCATCTTGAAAAAAAATGATGTATAGAATAAATCAACCTTTTCAATTATAGGGGGAATAGGAGGTTGACATGTCAAACTAAAACAAAGTAGTCAACATTTAAAATACTATCAGGGGCATAGCCAGAATCTCAGATAGGCGAGGTAAAAAAACAGGATAATAGACCACTATTATCTGATTATTAACTCATTTTCATGTTGTCAATTGAAAAATGTTCGTATTCTTACTTTCTGAAAATTTCGGGAAGCACTTGCCTGGCTGAGCCGATACACTCTCTTTATAACTCATATTATATTTTTTGAGCATTTAAGGATACAATTATACATCATTGGCTTATTGTCCGATTGTGTTGAAGATGATGTGATGATGCAACTTGCAAGGGGCACTGTATATTTCAATCATCCTCATGCACAGGCTTGAATCAAGCACTAAATCCGATTGAAATAAACCCTAAACATCTTCTGGACAGGGAAATGGATAATCAGGGAACAGCAACTTGATACAAGACTACCTCAGACCTGTAATTCCATTGGTCTGTATGATAAAGTGTCTCAAAAATATGAATCCATGAGAGGTTGACTGACTGACTGACATATTATGAAAACTCATGATGAAAGGAGACACACAAAACAAATCTGATGTATATTATCACCAGTCATTATCACTATCATCATTGTCTATTGCACTATTTTGCACAGCTACGCCCATCATGTCTTTAACTCCCTGCCTTGGACATTCTTTAATTTCTGTTTGTATAGCTCCACTTTGACCTAGCTTCCATTCAAGCTCTGAAACAAAGAAAAAATCCATCAAATCTCAAAATATCCACATTGCTCCACCAGAAATCATTAATGCTCCCTTTAACTCCACCAGAAATGATTAATGCTCCCTTTAACTAAATACTGGGGCAAATAGCACTATAATACTGACGAATTTTTGGAAATTGCCATATATGGTACCTCTAGCCTTGCCCAAGTGGGTTTCTTTTACTTATCTTGATTTCTATTATAATTCAAGATCAGATTAATAAAAAAATACCGACTTGGGCAAGGCTAGGTACCTCTGACATAATATATATTATATATACATGGGCAAACATATATAGTGTTATATATCATTTTAAAGCGTATGATTTACTCTTTCAGAATGAATAGGGTTTTAAAGTCCCATTTTATAAGTTGTCATGGTTACAAGATTCCAAAAATAAACATTGGGTTTGTGCTTGGACGTGATATCACGTCCTTAGTAGTCAATATGTGCTTTATGATGTCATATCACGCCCTTCTTAGCGAATGACTTAAACATGAGTAATGATCTCGTTGTAGACAATATATGGGGTAAAAATACCAAATGAAAATTATCCAAATGAGGAACCATCAAAAATTTCTCACCATCCTGAGATAATTTTGTTCCTCCAAATTCTAGTGGTCCTATCCATTGTTTCATCATCTTGTCTTGGAAATAGACAAATATTGTAGGAAGGTTCTTATCCGGGTAGTTAGGAATACATACAGTTGAGACACTACGTAAGAATTTGGTCGCTGGAAATTTTCTTGCTAAGTTTGTCAAGTGTTGATTAATCAGACTACAAAGGGGTATACTGGAAGAAAGAGAGGTGCAGATGTTTATTATGGCCAATTTCATACAGATGTATGAGGGTACCCAAACACTGTTTTTGTATTTCAATACAAAATACTAATTAGTGTAGGTACTTTAGAATATAATTTATATGTTAATATTGTATAAACTACATTAAAGAACACTTGAATTTACTGTAAAAATGTCTTATTATTAGCAAAAATACCAAAACATTAAGACAAACACCAGGTAGAACTAAATGCACCTACCCATCTTTGTATATATGTAGTACCACCCAGACCCCCTCTCCTGCCTTATTGACTTCATCCACATAATCTTGCCTTGAAATCTCCCTGACATCTCCAAATCTTGCCTTGGCCTGCGATGCCTGCATTTCAAGTATTCTCTTTCGCCTGTAAAAATGTATAGATTTGTAAGTTAAAGGCTCTGGGCAGCACTCTCTTAGAGACAGAATGGGAGGAGGGGGGTAAAATAAGGGTTTACAACAAGACTAAAGATTTGCAAACAATCATCAAATGTAAATTTACAAGTGCACTTAGAGTTTCTTAAGTTATTAACCCATCATTATGTATCTGAATTCCTAAGCTAGCATACTCCTATTCCACAATAACTTTTCCAACATAACTATATTCCACTATCCACAATCAACATACCTGTTTTCAAAAAACAACAAGAACATATATGTATTCTTCAAATAATAAGCAATATATTCTTCTTAGTTTTATACCTGTATTCCAGAAATAAAAATCAAATATTGGTATAACCAGCAATACACCTGTATTCCTTAAATATCGAGCAATATACCTCTTTAAATATCAAGCAATATACTCATACTCTTCAAATTACAAGCAAATATACCTGCATTTTTCAAATGACATACAATATATACCTGTATTCCACAAATAACAATAAACATACCTGTATTCTTCAAATAGTCTTTCCTCTTCCTCATCAATCTCATCTTCCATCTCATCAAGTTCATCTGCATTCATCTCATCAAATGTTTTCTCTATAAAATAATTCATCCCTCATTATTACAGGTTGGGTATTCAATCACGTCATGTTGATCCACAATTGACCTACACTTACACATTATTTGAAACAAATTTCTTTTTGCTTGCTGATTGGTTGAGAAATTATCAGAACAATGGATTTAAATTGATTTATTACCCAGTGTGTGATGGTACCAACAGTGTGGTTGGGGATGCTAAACTGTAAAATTGTTTGACCTGTTCAGAGGTAAGAATTAAAATCTGTACTCAGGGTAGCAATTTGGGAAAATTGGAAATTTTTTTGAAAATATAGGACAAAATCTTCTAAATTAAGATCCAATATTCATTGAAGGGGCAATTTATGTCAACACTGGATATGAGTGATTTTCCTGAAGTGAAATGGAGCATCCCCCTCTAAAAAAGTGTGTATGTGATTGACAGTATTTAAAGAATACCTCTACTTTTGTCTGCAATGGACTGTTCCAACATGCCAACAATGTCATCTTCTGTGATTTCCTTCTCCTGTTTGGGAGGAAGGATTCCTTTAGACCGCAACACATCATTCCATTCAGTATCAGCATTAGGGTCCTGTGAACAAATCAGAAAGTGAACTGGATAACAGCAACGCCAAATCGTAGCAAATGCCATTGAACAACCATGGCTGCCATTTTCACAATTTTATCCTTCTACTATTTTTTCAGTAATAGAAAAAATCATTGAATAAAACACATAAAAATGGTTGCTCACAAGACAAGTTGTCATAAGAAAGTGTAGTATGCTTCTAAATAGGCAAATGTAAAATTTTAACAAAATAACATATGTATGAAATTGACGGCAAATTTTCAAAATTGCTGGCTACTAGCCAAAGTGTCATGAGACAGTTTGCCATGATTATGCTTATGAGTTTCCAAATATCAAATATGAACAAAATTGCTCCACTACTTTTCAATTATGTTACAGCAAAAATTGTAAAAAAGCATTTAAATGCCACCATTTTCAAGATGGCTGCAATGTGTTTCTTACATTTCTGGCTTTATTAATGTCCTGAATAACCTTTTTACATTTAACAGTTTAAAACATGTTGTTATTACAGTTTTATATATTGTTCCTAAATTACTGTAAAATCTGCACTAAAATGGCTGCCTTTTTTATGAGCAGCCAATTTGAAAATTGGCTTTCAAGCAAAACTTCTAGCCCATAGGGCATATGTGTGCAAAATATGAACCAAATCGGACCAACGGTTTTTTTCAAATCATCCCCAAAACTTATTGTATATTGGAATCTTGAAAATCATTGTCAGTAGTTAACACAAACCTAAATTTTATATAAATAAGCACTAATCCAGTTTTTTATCTCAACTGCATCGTCGCTGATTGGTCAAATCTAGTTTGAATAATATTCTGGCGTGTAAAATCATGTGCTTGTTATTTCACTACACGATAAAGAACAATGCAAGGAATATGCTAAATTTGATTAAAACAGCACAATGAAGTGAGGTATTCTAAAACTGTCTGTTTTCTAAAAATTGAGAAAACGAAGATCAGGTTAGCAAGAGACGTAATTATGTCTGTCATCTCTAAGCTCTGGGGTTATCCCTCCTCTTGGGGGTGATTTGAAAAATCAACCCCACATTTATGCGGGTATTCTGGCCAGACAAAACTGCAAATGTGAGACTGCACTGCATCTTATTTTCGCAAATGGAACACCCAGATCATGAGATGCAATAGACTAGCCTTACTCGAGTCTCTAGCCAATACTTGTAAGGAAAATTTGATTAAAACAGCACAATGAAATGTGGTATTCTAAAACTGCCTGTTTTCTGAAAATTGAGAAAACGAAGATCAGGTAAGCAAGAGACGTAATTATGACTGTCATCTCTAAGCTCTGGGGTTATCCCTCCTCTTTGGGGTGATTTGAAAAACCAATCCCACATTTATGTGGGTATTCTGGCCAGACAAAACTGCAGATGTGAGGCTGAACTGCATCTTATTTTCGCAAATGGAACAACCAGATCATGAGACGCAATAGACTAGCCATGTAAAAATTGAGTGGGAATTTTTTATCCCGTACCAGGACTATAGTCCTGCAGTGAGAGCATTCTTTTGCCTGTACGATTACAACATGGGAGAATTTTCTACGCTTCTTACACTTAAGATACCTATTTCAATAGATTCCTTGGTATTTTAGCATTCTTTTCTTGTAGTTGAATCCACAATTGTCTGGGTTTATCGGCAGAACAAAGAAATTTTCGTTTTTAATCACAATATTTGCGTGTAATATTTAACTTATTTCAACCGTCAAATTCCTCCATTTTTGGTGCTTCCGGGCAACATCCGGGTCAGTCAAATGGGGAATCCCCTTTTAAATCCAACCGCCATCTTGGAAAGTGATGGAATATCTCTCGATGAAAAATAACAATGTTCCCGTTCTACCGATATACCCAGACAATTGTGGATTCAACTACACGAAAAGAATGCTAAAATACCCAGGAATCAATTGAAGTAGGTATCTTAAGTGTAAGGGGCGTAGATAATTCTCCCAAGTTGTAATCGTACAGGCAAACGAATGCTCTCAATGCAGGACTATAGTCCTGGCACGGGATAAGGAATTTTATTTATTACATGGTGTGTATATAATAAACTTATAGTAGATCTATCCGTGGTCTAGCTACAATACCAGGGTACAATCTGACAATACAGGCAAATTGTTACTTAATCATATCATTTTACATGTTATGCCCAAATAAGGTAATGAACAGATTCCTAAAAGCAGGCTCCACAATGTAAATAGATGTGAGCGATAGAATCTAGATCAAACTACAACTTCGATTCCATCACTTCAAGAAAAGAAATATCAACCAAACTTTTAGGAACGATATAAAAATATATTACCTGCATATTGATTTGTCTTTTGGTAGTACTAGACCATGCGATTAGTGTAAAAGTTGGTGTAGATCACAGCTCTCACAAGTTGCTTCAATGATTCACTCTACTTCCGGATTCTGCTGCGATATGCTCAACTTTTCTAATAATCGAAATATTACTTATTAACTATTTCAAATAAATATATAAAGAGAATTTTTATATAAAACAATAATTTTATATTTCATCCATGAAGAATAAATATTATAATATTAAGCATGCTATTGTAAAATGATCAGTTCATTGATTCCGTTTCGATAAAAAGTTTATTATTTAGATGTATTCTCAGAAAAATATACGTGAGTTTGTTTTCACACTTGTTTATATATTTTACTCATATTTGACATATTTCATAGCAGATATCATGATTTTCAAATGCATTTTATATGAAAGCATAAGTATGATTCGTTTTGTTGGCTCATGTTTTTCTATATTCTCTACTATTCGACATCAAAATTGCATGTAAATCTCTATAATTTTGCATTCTCAAAATTCATTTCGTTCATTGCGTACCTTCACTACCTCTCTGACGTTGTTAAAATAGTTCTAAAATTCCCGGGGTACGATCTTAGAAAGCTTCAGAAATTAGTACTTTCCTTATCACGGGGGATAAGCAAAACGAGGGCGAAGCCACGGACTGCGACTCGCGTAATTCAAAACGAGGTTACAACGCATTATAGCTGAACAATGGCAGTAAGTCCAAACTTAATTTGGAAGGCATGTTAGGATTTGGGGTAGTCAAGTGAACTCGACTTAATGTTGTTGTTTCACGTTTCTTTTTGACGATTTGGATATTTGTTTTTTATTTTTGTTTTCAACATTTGCGTCGAGGATATTAAGCCCTGTATATTGCGGTAAATGCTTTTCTGCACTCTATGCTCAACAAAAGTTACACAGATAAGATAATGGATCCAATGCTTCAACTAGAATGTATTAACTCTTACCTTAAACACAGGAAATACTTGATAATTGAAGAAATGTAATCATTTTCGTATATGTTTGAACCAATTTCCAATATGGTTCTCAAGGTCACTCAAGGTCACTGAATACTGTCTAAATGTGAAACCATGCAACCAAAACGAAATCGTAATTATTTATTACCAACATATCTGTTTTCGGTTTCTTCACCCTCCTTGGTGTCTGAGAAGGCGATTCAATTGTCATAAGACGATGATAAACTTTCGAGTTGAAATCTCGATCTCAATATGGCTGCTGTTTATTGTAATTTCGTTTTTCGCTTCACCTAGAGTTTTACTTTTACACAATCATTACCCAGAATGCATCTACACATGGGGAAAAAAATTGTTTCCAGAAAAATTCTTATACTTCTTCAATTATCAAGCGTTTGACGTGTGTAAGGTAGGATTAAATACATTATCGATGAAGAGCATATTCTAATACATAATTTGTGTGATTTTGGTTGCCTAAACAGGCCAGGAAAGCATTTCCCTCAATTTACAACCGAGAAGTGTGTACGACCCTAGTATGCAAGAAAATAACAAAAAATAAATATCCAAATTATCAAAAAATAATGACAAATAAAGCATACGATGGTCGGATTTATATGACTAGATTTGGGGTAGATTATTGGTTTGGATATTCTACAGAATAGCTAGTATGTTCCAGTCGGTGATCAACATATTCATACTCCATCTGCAATGGCATTCTTGGTGCTCGGCTGTCCAATAGTTTAGCATGAACACAAATGAATTCGAAATCTGCCACAAAAAATGTAATTTTGTCAATATGTGTCCCTAATATACCGATTTAAACAAAGGAATCAGAAATGACATCGAATTAATATAATTATTCATGTTCTGTTGTTACAATTACATCTTCGTGTGATATTTGGTAAGCGGAAAACGTACAATTACATAGAAAATTGGAATTTATAATAGTCGCAGTCCATCCATCTGCCCAACGCAGTCCGCGACTCAGTGTTGCTTTATATCTGAAGCTGAACGCAATCACAGCCAAAGGTAGATAGCACAATGTGAGTACAGGTGTGGCCGAAATGGAGCAACTTTGGACAAAATTGAATATAAAGGGCTATTTTAATAGACCTACATCGTGTCTCAATCCATTCTGCAAATATATACAAGCTGTCAAATACAGCTGAAATCATGAATTTATGGTAGCTAGCAATATTGATGGTCTGTTGGAAAGATCATCCAAAATTACATTAACTCACCAACTCTCCAATTATTTGATATTTTCCTGATATCTTAAATACTATTCTAGTTAATGTACCCTTCCCCAACAGCTTTTATTGCATCATCAAAAAGTTAATTGTTTCGCATTTCTACTTCTTATAAAAAGTCTCACCACTATCCAATTATCTATATATTTAACCCTATCCACAAATTGGTTTGTAATAAACATATTACGTTGTCATCTTGCGCTCGACTGTTCTGCCAAATACGCTATTGAATTGCCATATTTCTGGGTCTTAAACGATACAATATAGCAATTTGGGACATTGATTCAGGTAATAGATATATGTTAATCAACGTAACTTTGAATGATAATCTGGATGCTGACTTTTCTTTTCCTGAAACAATAATAGCGTAGGAATATAGTTTACACTATCTTATTTATTTCGTGTTTGCGGCTGGACTGCGTTACTTAGAATATCAATGGTGGCTGTGTTGCGTTGTTGAAATAGCTTTGTTTACTGGACTGCGTCCACTATGAATGCGCAGTTTGAATCTAATTTTCTCCTCATGAACACATTCTATTATCAAATCATTTTCACGAATTATACTTGGAGCCTCAACTAACCTTAAGATATCAGAAACGTGTTAAAACTCCTTTCAAATGTATAGTAAATTAAATAATATGCACATATTTTACAGGTAAAATCAGAACTTTGCTACTGTTTTAGCTTGATCTGGACAACTGCTTATTTTCTTATCTACAGACCAACAGTAGATACAGAGTAATATTTTGGTCACCGATTAGACACTACGATAGCATTTAAAATACCTGGATTTCTCTATTTTGTCGGAAGAAGCAGAAGGCACTGCAGGATGTCCCTCCATTTTGGCGCTGGGCTGCGGTGTAAAGTTACGCGAGTCGCAGTCCGTGGCTTCGCCCTCGTTTTGCTTATCCCCCGTGTTTATTACGAAATCAAAAACGCCAAAACTTTAATATTCCATAAATCATAACGTTTACAAATGATTTTACCATCGAAATTGGTAATCAATGTTGTATTTGATGTGTTTTTAGGTAAAAATCTCCGCGGAGCAACAAATTGTAAAACGTCAAGATCGATAATCACTGGGTTCAACATTACTACACGATTTCAAGATGGCGGTGTCAAAATTTTCTAAAAACGCTTCAAATAATATTATGTTAATTTCTGGCGAGTTCACCAATATCATAACTTGTTATCTAACATCAAGATAAAGAAATATGTAAGAAATTCAATTTTATTGATTAAAACATCACATCGACATGTGGTATTCGTTTATTAGACGTTGAAAATTACGAATATGGGGATGACGTCACTTCAAAACGAACTGCATAGCAACGGTGTTAATAAACAATTTCTGATCGATCGGAAGTCCTTGCAAATTCCGATTCACTTATTTTTAACTGTTTGTTACGAATTACTTAATATTTTTCTTACGAATGGATTCTTACTACATTAGAAATAAACATCTTATAAAATATAACGAATAAAATTAGTAGCAACCGCAAAAAATAGATTTTCTTAAAGGGGGTTAAAATATTTAGAAGGGTAAATTTCGCGGGAATTTGAACAACTGCATGAGGTAAGGCACAGGAGGTACGGATGGCACTGGACGAAAGGCTCGGAGACTGATAATTTTGTTGAAATATTTCGAAAAATATTGGGTGATAATAGACTAGATGAGCTCTTTCCTTGTCATTTGCTCGACTATATGCCACTTCCGAATTCGGTTCAATTTAAACACTTTTCATTTTCATCATATTCATCAACACAGCAGTCCTGTTGATTGCTCAGATCTCTCATATTTCTTAACTCCATTCTGTCTTCTATTTTTCTCTCTTTATTTAGGTGTCATGTCAGGCGTTATGTAGTCTACTTTGGAGTACTGGGTGTGTCTCCTAGGATAACCTGCATACGTTTTACCCAGTTTTTTCTTTTTCACTGTTTTTGTTGCTTTCATAAGGTTACTGCTAGTTATCCCGTTCCCGGACTATAGTCCTGCACTGAGCGCATTCATTTGCCTGTACGATTACAACTTGGGAGAATTATCTACGCCCCTTACACTTAAGATACCTACCTCAATGCATTATTGAACTCAAGATGTAACTTCTAATATATTGGAACCGCCGATTGTCTGGGTATATCGGCAGAACGGGAACATTTTCTCTTTTTCATCGAGAGAGATTCCATCACTTTTCAAAATGGCGGTTGGATTTAAAAGGGGAATCCCCCGTTTGGCTGTCCCGGATGTAGCCCGGAAGTACCAATATGGAGGAATTTGACGGTTGAAATAAGTTAAATGTTACACGCAAATATTGCGATCAAAAACGAAAATGTCTTCGTTCTGCCGATAAACCCAGACAATTGTGGATTCAACTACACGAAAAGAATGCTAAATTACCAAGGAATCTATTGAAGTAGGTATCTGAAGTGTAAGATCAGTAAAAAATTCTCCCATGTTGTAATCGCACAGGCAAAAGATTGAGATGTTCACAGGACCATAGTCCGGGAACGGGATAAACTGCTAGTGTCTTTTAATTGCTGCCCTATTCTGTCATCAAGTATCTCGTTTATCACTTGAATTGATTCCTTGGAGATAGACTGCTGGATAGATATGAATTTTGTTTCAATTAAGGATTTTAGATACATCAGATATGTTTGTAATCATTTTTGAAACCTGTTCTTCTTCCAGAGAATTACATTTCAATTTGAAATCAAGGTTCACAGTCCATATAGTAGTATAGTACCAGTGCATTTTTTTGGTTATTTTGCAATGTTCCAACAAGACTTTTCTTCAAACCCTGGCATTTACAAGATTACTTCAGACAAATTTCACATTGAATTTCTGACAGTACATTGTGACAATAGTCACAGAAATCCTTGGTATATATTGAATGCCCATGGTATATGGTCCCGTTTTTGTGTTATTTCAGTGCTCTGTTAGTTGTTGAAACGAGTAACTTGTGTCCTGACTGTTTGGTACTGTCAGGTTTACTTGCAATTTAGAGGGAGGGATGTAATTTGCATTTTTATTTCCAGCACATTTGATTTTATGGGGGCTGCCATCTTGGGTTTGGGTTATCGTAAGTTGGTCTTGGTCCCTGGTTTTATGTCATGCAGAATTTTCCATTTTGTCTTGGTAATTTCCAGAATGACTTTGGGTGTTATTAGTCTTATAAGTTATACTTGCAACGAAGCTTTGCTTAACAGTCTGGAGAAGACTAGGATTTTTTTCCCACTGGAATTTTTCACACACTATGTCATAAAATCCTTTGTCATTGTTTACTACACTTTTCTCAGGAGTTTGTTCTGCATGGTGGAGTATGTGGCGTCCTTTTTTCTTGCTGCAACTGTTGGAGGACACTACACTTTAGTCTTCTTGTATAGAATCAGTTCAGGTATGATACAGCTAGACAGATATGTGTTGAAAAAGGCGAAACCTTGAGCTCAGAAAAACAGTATGGCGACTAGCCTATGTCGTAAAGGTTCACCAATGTCAAAATAAAATCAATCCACTTTATCTAGTTTATAGTTAGATGTGACTATACAGGTATCAAAAGTATATTTCACCTCCTGACTGCTGAAGAAGATACTATAAACTATATCCTGGCTCTAGTCTGAGATTGTTTTGAAATTTGGAAAGAAAATATTCAGACTATAACCCACATATGTTGAAATTTAGAATTGGAAATTTTTGTTTTACATAGGGAGTGCTATTCAAAATGATCATGGAGTTAATTAACCCCCCTGATATCTACAGTATAAAAATGTGGACCTACTTTTTTGCTTTCTTGAAGTATTTTTTTCTAATTAATTCTAATTCTTATAAGCTTAGTAATTTTATGACAGGAAATGTGCTTGGTCTTATTGGTTTTTATTAGATAATGTGGTGTTAGATAACAGTCTGGTCTCTACATATAATATGGCAAAAATGCAGTGAAATAGACCCCAATGGTTGTAGTGAGCACCTACCTACTGATACAGTGATGTTTTTCTTGGCAAAAAATGTACACTATACACAGGTTTTACTGTACTTGTTTCATGACATTCATTATATCTTGTAAACTGATTATAATGATTGTGATTATTTCAGTGAAATGGAGAATATAACTAACATGGAGAATGTTGGAGGAGAATGTGAAGTGATAGAAGATACAGAATCTGATGTTATAGTCTTAGGTGACAGTCCACTATCATCCCCTATTAAACAGAACACATCTTCTAGTATTCCAATTACACTAGGTGACAGCCCCCTGACCCCAACCAACCCCACTATAGAGACACGGACCACAAGCCGCTCTTCTAGTAGGTCCTCTCGTCATAATACAGAACATGACTTTATTGAAGCTAACAACACTAAAGCTTCACAACAAAGCACAGACCTTGATGTTCAGGATGTAACACCTAGAACTTCGAAGAGGAAAATATCACCTTCAGTTAAAGTGCTTGAAGCTAAATCAAGGCGGAGGGTTTCATCAGGTGATACATCAAAGGTTCCTGATCGAACTCGAAAAAAATCGGGAAATATGGCGGGGAGCAGTGAAACACGGACAGGACAGGAAGTAGAACTTGATGTTACACCAGATAAGATGCCACTAGATCAGTCACGGAGACCTCCTGGTAGATCCCATACACAGAGTGAGAGTTCTGAGTTAGGAATGGATGAAGGGGAGGTGGTACATGCAGGGGTGGTAAATAAAAGGTTCCCTATCAGACCTGGCATCATATGGGCAGCAGGGGGAAAAGTGGAAGCAATGGATTATCAGAAAAAGTGGTAAGTGGTGAGGAAGATCAGCAAATAATTTAATTGGTTAGATAATTCATAAATATAATATTATGAAGAAAAAACATACAAAAACATATAGTTGTCTGCTTTGCATGTTTTACATTAGGTTTCCAGCCAAGATTATGGAGGTGGATGATAAGGAGCTTGAAGTACTTATTCATTTTGATGGCTGGAACCAAAGATACGATGAGTGGATTTCCATGGATAGCGACCGTTTACGTCCAATGGCACGGCATAGTGATCGCAAAACTGACAAGGGCAAAAAGTTCACCAAATGTTCAGTAAGTCCATTTTCAAATATCTTATTTTTGAATAAAAAAGTAATAATGATGGAATATTAATTGTGACTCACTACTTTTAATCATAATCACTTAATAATGGCTATGTAATATGGTTTGAATTCCGAATTTCTATTTATAGTTTCTACAAGGTGATATAGTTATTATAAATATATTTTTGCGATCCTAATAAACAGACTAAAAATAGTTACCATATTGAAGTCATCTCATTTGGAAATCATCATCAAAATCAGGAGTCGTACAATAATATCAGATATGTACTTCATTATTTACTTCTAGTGGAATCAATTGGTGTAAGGCCCCCATAGGGACCTTGCGTTTTCATACTAAAGTTCGTTTTGGAGTTTTTTCTTATTGTTCTATGTATTTCAAGACATTTTAGCCAGACATTTTAGAAAATTCAAATTTCAACTACTTATCTCACTATCACAGGCTGGTATTGAAATATTTGTCCGCTGTGACGGAGCATGCTATTTTTCATAAAAACACTAAGAATACTTCACGATTTATTTTTTAACTCATATCTTTCGTTATACCATACAAAATTACTTACTCCATGCAATGGATATATCATTTGCGGGTAACTTTCACTTCTGTTTGAAGTCCAATTATGCTGGGAAGAAAATCTATTGAAAATGGCGCCGGAGTATCATACTTCAAAATGTACCATTTCTTGTTTAACTTTCTAATGGCACGACATAGTGACACGATAATATTTACACATGGTTTCAGCATAACTATGAAGATATAAATGAGATGTTGATGTATTTGGTCTTTTTAATTCTTTTATAAAAAATAATGTTTGATTTTTTTGTCCGCTGTGACGGAGCAGTTGCAAATGTAAACTGTGAAAATGCTCCGTCACAGCGGACAAAAAATATTAATATTATTTTTTATAAAAAATTTAAAAAGACCCAATGCATTAATATCTCATTAATACATTCAGAGATATGCTGAAAACATATGTTAATATTATCGTGTCACTATATCATGCCATTAAAAAGTTAAAAAAGAAATGGTTCATTTTAGAGTTTAATACTCTGGCGCCGTTTTCAATAGATTTTAATCCTAGCGTTATTGGACTTCAAACAGTAGTGAAGGTTACACGCAAATGATATATTCATTGCATGGAGTGAGTAATTATCTTTGATATAACGAGACATATGAGTTAAAAAATAAATCGTCAAGCATTCTTAGTGTTTTTATGAAAAATAGCATGCTCCGTCACAGCGGACAAATCTTTCGATACCAGCCTGTGACTATAATTCACCAATGGAGAATGGAAGTTGAGCAACCAAACTTGGCACAAAGTTGGACCCTAAGATAAGCTCTAATCTGAGGGGTTTGATCTTTTGTGAAATCATACATTTGCCTAGCAACCACATAGCAACCATCTAAAATAACATATTTCACAATATAAATACACTTAATATATGCTAGGATGCTATAAGACTATTACAGAAAGTCTTCTTATCCTAAAATACAACAATTCAAACATATTTACAGAAGTGACATCACCATGTTGCATAGCAACAACATGGCAATAGGTTACAATGCCCATTTTGACATTTGCAGACCATATTCCGATGATATTACTCACTTGTAATCACTTTGGATCCCTTCCACATTATTTCTTAACATACAGAAATTGTGTTAAGCATAAATGATGCAGTTACGCCTGACTATTTTCCCTAGCAACTTCCTAGCAACAGCTTGAAATAATGGTTAAATTTGCCTAGCAATGACCTAGTAACAGCTTAAAATAGCAATGTTTCTCATAAAATCTCACTATATATCCACTATTATGTACTTGAAGAAAATTAATATGTATGTCTTTTAATTTATAAAGCTTTGTTGCTGCACACTCAAAAAAATCTGTAGTCTCTTGTGTAAAGCATGATGGGACATTTCTTGTCTTATGTTTATCAAATTGCAAAAGTCCTGCAATTCATGTTTCAGTTCTGAGATAAAGTAAACACAAAATATTCATCGTATTTATCCTTGTTACATTTTCAGCATTGATACCCCTAAGATAATACTTTATTTGGGTTAATTGCTACAATTTCCTTTGCAGTTGCATAGTTTCGGTGCAGTAGAATGCACCATGGCATTTGCAGTTCCCTTTGCAGTCACATTTGGTGCATCAACATTTAATTATGACGTTACATGCCTCAATCTGATCTGGTTACGCACAATCCTGATGTGCTCCTAAACCATCCCCATAGGTTTGATGAAGGAAGAACTGGATCCACTATATACCATTGCCCCCATACATGTGCTCCTTGGAGAGTTGCTCGCATGACATGATAGAGTGCTGCATCGCATGTTGGAGGTACTCTATCGGGATCCATCTGTCATGATTGAACATGTGCCTTTGCATGGTATTGAGATTTGTCTCACTGTTTGTAGGCTGGTAAACCAGGATAATGAACCTCTCAATTATGCCCACAACTTCTGTTGTTACGGTTGATGGGCGATCTGCTAGAGTCAAAAGGACACCTGTTAGATCATTACATAAGTTCCATTGCTTGAAAACTGTCACCTTGCTCTGATGGTAAAGTCCAGATGTGGTATCAGTTTCAGTATGGGCGTGGAACATTGGCCTAGTGCTCTAGCAATCTCATGAACTGGAATGTAGCGATACATTTTGCATTTTGAAAATGCGACATAAATATCAATCTGTAGCTCAGAGGCACAAGCTATTAGGCTATCACATCATTACTGTCCACCGATCTTATCATAAATGTCCTGCAACCTTTTCCGACGCCATGAGACACATGCAAAAACATATATGTATCTGCCTCATGACATTGTTAATTTTCCACATTTGGATAATAATATTCCACTGAACCCAGCATATGGGGTTTGTGTATCCCAGCAGGGCGTGTTCAAAATACTAGTATATACATTTTAAATCAAGACACCATATTTTACTGATTAAATCGTTAGGTCAAGGTTATACTTGTTAAAAGCTTAAAATCCTATCTGAGCTTTGCTGAAACATACAAGTCATTAATTTCAAAGTTTCAAGTTTTACCACTTGAGATGCTGAAGGATGTAGGAATTGTGCAAAGAGCTCTATCTTTCAAGAAAGTCTTGCCCATTGCTTGGTAGTTTGGTTTTAGGATAGGATTTCTCATAAACAATGACAATTTGTCTCAACCATTGAAGGAGAGTGCATGAGTAATCCTGCTAATTATGCCATAATAGTCCCTGCTCCCAGGAAGAGGCAGATACACATATGTTTTTGGATGTGTCTCATGGTGTTGGAAAAGGTTGCTGGACATTTAGGTTGCAGGACATTTATGATAAGATCGGTGGACAGTGATGTTGTGATAGCCTAATAGCCTGTGCCTCTGAGCTTCAGATTGAGATCAAAAGGCAAAACTAACGCTACATTCCAATTTATGAATTTGCTTGAGCACTACACTGCCAATGTTCCATGCCCTTACTGGAACTGATACCATATCTGGATTTTACCATCATAGCAAGGTGACAGTTTTCAAGCAATGGAACTTACGTAATGATCTTACAGGTGCCCTTTTGACAAGAAGCACATGTATGGGGGCAGTGGTATATAGTGGATCCAGTTCTTCAAGCCTATGGGGATGGTTAAGGAGCCCATCAGGATTGTGGGTGTCCAGATGGACAATATTGCCCAAGCGTCCAAAGCATGGAAAGTCATAATTAAATGTGGATGCACCAAATGTGACTGCAAAGGGAACTGCAAATGCCATGGTGCATTCTATTGCATCGAACTATGCACCTGTAAAGGAAATTGAAGCAATTTACCAAAATAAAGTATTATCTTAGGGGTATCAATGCTGAAAATGTATCAAGTATCAATGTGTGATGAATATTTCGTGTTTACTTTATCTCAGAACTGAAACATGAATTTCAATTTGACATACAGAACAAATGTCCCATCATGCAAGAGACTAAAGATTTTTTAATGAGCAACTATAAATTACAAAAGACATATATATTGATTTTCTTCAAGTACATATAGTGGATATATAGTGAAATTCTCATGAGAAACATTGCTCTTTTAAGATGTTGCTAGGTCGTTGCTAGGCAAATTTAACCTTTATTTCAAGCTGTTGCTAGGGAAAATGGTTAGACATAACTGCATCAATACATTTGCTATATGTTAAGAAATAATGTGGAAGAGATCCAAAAACAGTGAACATATAATAGATATATGGTCTGCAAATGTCAAAATGGGCATTGTAACCTGTTGCCAAGTTGTTGCTATGCAACATGGTGATGTCACTTCTGTTAATATGTTAAAATTGTTGTATTTTAGGATAAGAATACTTTTTTTTTGTAATGGTCTTATAGCATCCTAGCATATATTAAGTGGATTTATATTGTAAAATATGTTATTTTAGGCGGTTGCTATGTGGTTGCTAGGCAAATATATGATATCACAAAAAATCAAAGCCTTAAGATTAGAGTTTATCCTAGGATCTAACTTTGTGCCAAGTTTGGTTGCTCAATTCCCATTCTCCATTGGTGAATTATAGTGAGATAAGGAGTTTGGAATTTGAATTTTCTGTTAAGATTGTGTTAAAAAGCAGAAATAACAGGTATCCTGTAAAATCTCAATTATTTTTCTAAAAAGGGCTTTAGAAAAAGGGCCCTGTCTCTTAAATATCTTTAAATACATAAAACTATAAGAAAAAGCTCAGAAACAAACTTTAGTATGAAAATGCAAGATCATTCGCCAATTGATTCCGCTATTCTAACTAGATTATTCAGCCACATATAGGGATGCAAGTCATAATTAAAATTGAGACAAATTAAGTCAAGTAGAATGTTATGTTCCAGGAATTCAAGCCAGGTGAACAAGTTTATGCTAAGTGGACAGACTGCCGTTTATATCCTGCTAAAGTTATTGGACTTGACAGTAGTTCAGGTTAGTTGATCACATGTCACTTAATGTGCGACTTCGAAGATCCTCATTCAAGGATGATTTTATTTTTCAGTGTATCAAAAAGATATGAGTATGGAATAATTAAGACTTACTTTTGTAAGTTGTACGAATCTGCACAGATCAATATTGACATGTAATTGTATAATTGTGATATGAAGCCATACGTTGTATATTGTTTTTCAAGAAATCCTCAAAATATTTGTTTTCCCATATAAGGGTCATATTATGGTTTATTTGTTAACAGGGTCTTACCATGTGAAGTTCTATGACGGCTTTTCAAAGTTGGTAGAACCCATGAACATACGCACAATGACAGCTGAACAGAGGAAAGAAAGTGAACCACTTATCATGCCGGCCACAGATGCAATTAAACCTAGAAGTGCAGAGAGTAAGTTGTATTGAGAAAGGCACAATTTTGAATTCCTTTAGTAAATTGTCAGCTTATTAATGTGTCCATACAGAAAATATTACAAGTTCTTCCCAGCTTCATGTAAAAACATAATTTAATCAGGGGCAAAAGTATTTCTGAATATTTAGAGTGGGCAATATTAGCCAAGTCACAAAAGAAATCACCTGGTTCTATCAGTTCTATTATGTAACCACCACAGTTGGACATATTGTTATTATTTACAACTTTTTGTGGATAGTGTTTGGCAGTTGGTGTTTGGCATTTGGTGGTCAGGGTTCAGCATCTGTAACAAATGGCAGGTGGTGACATATTGCATGTTATTGCCTTGTTCCTTCTATGTTCTGTTTTATAGCTCTTTAAATTCCATTTTTCATTGATAGTTAACTCCAGAATTTCATGTTTTTCATACTTCTCAAATCCTCTTGCATTTTCAAATCTCTTTCAACATTTTTCATTTGGCTCCACAACCAAAGACCAAAGATGAATTAGCGATGTTATGTTCAGTTCTAGTATGTCTAGTATGTCATGAGATAGTTTATTTGCACTTTAGTCTTGGCAAAGAAGCCTTGCCCAAGTCGGTATTTTTTTTTTACTTATCTGATCTTGAATTATTACTGCCTTGCACAATATAATGCATCATCGCTGATATTATGATAAGTTATTCAGTGGTTTCGAGTTTTCGATAATTCCTATGCTGTCAGGGGTATCGCGAAACCGTATTGAGAGGCAAGATTGTGTGGACACGACGTTTGACTTCAGGCTGATTGACCAATCAAAATGTTATCAGGTTTACCTGCATAAACAAAGCAAACTACCCGTCTACGACTTGAAATTTTCATCAAATATTTTCTGATCAAGTATTTCTTCAGAGTTACAATACATTCTGTAATTAATGTACATTGGAATGTAAGCAGGCATTACTATAAATTAATTTAATGTTGATTTAAAACTGAATTCGCGATGAAAATGCACGAAGACTAGTCCATATAGTCGTCGATCTGATTCAGTGATTGATCGGAATCTCAGAGATCGTAGCTATCATGTTTGATCATTACAACGATCTTTTCAACGTTTCTTGTTGAAATCTTCTCGCCTCCGGGTATCCGATCGATGCCACCAAACTCTGATTGACATTTATCTGGTTAAATATTTGTATTTCCATAATGAATTGTGCAAGATTTGTTTGTGAAAAGTGTATTTGTTTTGACTGTGCATAATAATTAGCTAACGATGCAGGGCCATTTTTTGATTGGTCAAATTTATTGGGTCGGTAAAGCACGTGGCTTTCTCATTGGTACAAGGCGGTCATAATAGAAATCGAGATAAGTAAAAGAGACCAACTTGGGCAAGACTATTGGTAAAGTAGATTCTGATTAAAACCTTTATTGTTCAATTAAAAATCAAATAAACATAATAAAATAAGGAACTGTTTTCAGAAAAAAGGCTATCTACTGACAAGGAGTCCCCAGTATCATCTGATAAAGAAAAACCTACATTGACTGATAAAGAAAAACGCCTCTCTATTGAAAAAGAAAAAAGACTTTCCATTGAAAAGGAAAAGAAACCATCATCTGAAAAGCGATTATCAACAGATAAGGATAAAAGATTATCATTAGACAAGGAAAAGAGATTGTCGACTGATAAAGCTCCACTTTTAGAAAAGGACAAAAAATTGACTTCAGACAAAGAAGTGCGGCTTTCTGCTGGGAAGGATAAGACAGAGAAACCAAAAGCTTTGGGCACCCCAGTCAAAAAAGGTATGATGTACGATAATCAAGGTATGCACAAAAGCAATATAACATATTCAGAAATCATGCATAATCTTGTATTATATAGGATTACTTCATTTTTTCATTTTAAAGTAGTTGTTTTTATGTTAAAATAACAAATTGATTTTGTTTTGCAATATTTCGATTTATTCTTTAAATCTTTTTCAAGCAACTGAAAATTGTTGCTATAATTATGACATCATAGACTAAAACAATAGAACAAATAGACCATTATGTAATACAGGTATTTTACAGGTAAAGAACTCATTAAATTGCATTACCATAGAAACCTAATTATAAAGCACACCTGAATATCATCATAAAGCAATTTAGAATAATCTTGTAATTGTGACATCATAGATATAAACAAAAGAGCAATTTAATTTTGATATCATACAGGTATAAGACAGGTAGATTTTAAAATTAATTATGACTTAAGTGTCATAGAAACCATATTAAAACATTTTTATATTTCTACATTCCTGAATTTATATTTAAACCACTAGGGGCTAGGGTACCTAGTTTTTTTTATCCAGAAAGCTTCCCTAGTTCTTCGAAAATGTACATTTTTTGAACCAAGGAATTCAATAGCAACTATAGAAACATCATTTATTGAGTGCCCTTTGCTATTGAAATGATTGGGGACTACCTCATCTTTGTTATGACATAACAACTGTTAGGCTTGAAAAAGATTTAAAGAATAAATCGAAATATTGCAAAACAAAATCAATTTGTTATTTTTTCATTTCAAATGATAGGCATTCCAGTAAATTTTATTTTTTGCCAAGCTTGGTAATTTTTAAAGTGGTAGTTTGGGGTTTTCCGTCTAAAACCTTTTGTATAAAGCTTTGTTTTTTGGTATGATTTCAAATTTTCAGGATTTCAGGAGTGAAAAAAATTGAGAACCAATTTGGGCTATGTTGTGATTTGTGCTATGTTGGCTAAAAAAAGTCATTTGGATTACCATCCTAAGATATGGTTTTCAGTGCCTTGTCTTGCTTTTCCAGGCAATCAGTTTCACAAATTCATTTGAATTGATCATTCCTGCCTTTTTACTTACAAAAAAACATGTGATTGTGAACTATCTATGTCAAAATCGTATTAATTGTTATGTTCCAGCCGTCACACCAGGAAAACAAAGGACAACTGAAGAGCAGCGAAAGCAGACCAATGCACAGTATCTGAAGAAACGCAAGTTGATAGTTGGCGGGGCTTTTCAGGAGCAATCAAAACGGATGAAAAATGCCTTAGGAAAAGATAAGTCGAAAAAGGTACACTTCAAAGAACATTTTGAATTCTTGAGTAATTTATCAGTATCTCTCTCTTTCATACTTTATTTCAAGTTTTGTACATCCAGAGTCAATGGGTGTATGCATTGAAAAATAAATACACATTCAGACAGCCAAGATATAAAATATATTATTTAAATATCCATTTTAAGTGCTATTTTCCAATATCATTCATTAGCAAGTTGTATTGAAAAAAACAACAACTTAGCTAAAATATTTAGTTTAGCGGGAATGAAGAATTGAATGTAGATCTAAAAAATGATGTTAAAATTAAATATGTTTTCAATATTTTTACTAGAAGGCTGTGGGCTCTCCAATGAGCAAGACAGATCTGAAGAAAAATCTTGACCTCAAGTCTCCAAAAATTTCAAGTGAGTTACTGTACAACACATTTTAAACAGGTACTCTCAAAATAACTTCTCACTGAATTCTATGCATCCATTTTAACTGCAAGACCAACCATGACTCTTCAAACAGACTTGTTTGAAGTGAGAATATATCTTATGTGGAAAAAACATAATGCTAAAAATGTGCAAAATCCTTTTATCACCAACCCATTAGATAAAAGTGATAATGTGTAGAATTCAGTGTATAAAATATGAGACAGTCCTTAAGATGTTGTCTATTGTTAAAATACACTATGGAATTTGGTAAATGAATTTTTTATTATGCTGTCTGGTGCATGTTTTTGGATTGGTATTTTTCATTCAGTTTACCTATTATGTTTATGGTACATCGAGAGATAAAAGGTAAAAACATGATTGAAAAACTTCCTATATTCTACAGATACTTGATTATGGAATGGTTAAATAATAGGGTCATTGAGGCAACAAAAAGTATTAATATTGATGAAGTTTTATGGAATAATATGAATATCCAATACAAGAAAGCCAATATATTCTTTGACACATGGATTAGTAAAGGTATTGTGAGGGTGAGAGATGTTTTGTCTGATGGTAGAGTAAAAAGTATAGAAGAAATTAAACGAATCATTGGTAACAGCCCAGCTTTGATATTAGAATACAATGTTGTAAAGAATGCGCTTATAAACTTGGTATTCACAGGGCAAGAAATTAACCCACCTAGTGAATGCAATTTGAGGTATAACAAAATATTGGTGAAAGACATTAAAGCAAAACAATTCAGAAATATGATTATTTCAAATGATATTGTAATTTCAAAAGCAGAAGCTAAATGGAATTTAGAGTATCAAAATCTTATTTGGAAAACAATTTGGAGCGAAATCTCAAAAATTAAAGAACCTAGACTTAAGTCATTACAGTATAAGATCATGCACAGAATATATCCTACAAATATTTTGTTATACAAAATGAAAATTGTAAATAATGAAAATTGCAAGTATTGCAAAGATAAACTGGACACTTATGAACACTTCTTTGTTGAATGTAAATACATTGAGTCAATATGGAAACTGGCTCAGACCATTTGCCAAAAGAAGTTCAGTTATTCAGGTAGATTTTCTACAAGAGACATTATGTTTGGAATAAAAGACAAGTGTAAAAACCATGTGCTGCTAATCGCAAAAAACTGTATAAGTAAAGTTAAATATGGCACATACCCGAATATAGAAATACTATTCCAACAAGAATTAGAACTAAGAAACATACTGTAAATTGTTTGTAATTGTATCATGTATTAAAACATTGAAATAAAAAAAAAAAAAAAAATGTTTATGGTACATGTAAAGTCTAATGCACATTTTGCTTGTAGTTGCACCTTTGCATTGCTTGCAATGTAATCCTTGACTTTATAATTGCTGTTCACAAAGTAAAGATAATGAACAAAAGAAAAATATTTTCCCCCTTTTCTAAAGGCTGTAATTGTACAAGTAATTTGTTTGGTTGGTGAAATTGAAAGAGTCCAAGCTTTTTCAGCACACAAAATGGGTCTATGGGATTGACTAGGTGTCCTCTATTAATCCATCTGTCCACCAATATTGGTGGTACAATTTAAAACTCTTATCAAATCTACATTATTTTTTGAAAGGTTTAACCAGGTGGTTATTGCTAATCAAACATTTAATTTGTACAGGCTGAAACTGTTCTGTGCTGTAAATTGCTTGCTGTATGTTTTCTATATTGTTTGTCACTGTATAGTCCCCAACATTGACCAGTTGATGCTGCATACTCCACCTTGGACACCTGCCCAGCTGGCCTCCTTAAACATCCCTTCACCCAACTTAGATGTCAGGTTAACTAAAGGTTGGTTCCTAATTAAGATACATTCTGATACTCATCATTTGTTTATGTCATATGCAAGATTCTCTGATTTAATGACCTTATGAATGTGAATTTCAAAATTTTGATCTCAGGCTTTTCAAAGATTTCCTCAGTTTATACTCAGAGAACAGCCGACCTGGTGAAAATCATTGATTCACCCCTTTGTGTTTGAATCATGTGTTTTTTCTCTCAAGCTCTGATGATTTTTTGCTTTGTAGTTGACTAACTTGTTAAAGTTTTGAACTATAAATTGAAACCACCTTGTGAAATAGGCAAAAAATGAGAAGTTGGTTTGATATACATGGTGGCTGAAATATGTCTCCTCTAGTGATTACTTCATACTCCAAAGATTGTACATTTCAGATATCTCTACTTATACCTTCTGAAGGATATCTTATACCTCTTATAATGCATGAAATTCCCAGATGTGCATCTGCATAGCTTTGTAGTGCATGTAGTAATGCTTCACTTGCTAACTCTTCTTATATCTGTTGAATGTGATCTTAATGGTGTATACTGTATAATATAAAAAAGACATGGTATGTTGTATTTATATAGCTCATTCACAAGTACAAGTGATGGTATGGATTGGTATGATGGAACTATTGAAGCCCCCCCCCCTGAAAATGGGAATAATTTAATGATCCCCTTTACCTCTTGACCAACCAGAATGACACGATTTTTGATAAAAAAACCTTGTCATAAAGGAATTGACGTCGAGTCATAGAAAGACAATTTTGCCTATAATTACTCTAACTTTGATAATTTTAATCCAAGTATCAATACCTTTTACCTTATTATTGAGCATCACATGTTGTATTTGTTTCAGTTACATGTCATAAATTGGTAAAAAGTTTTTTACCCTTATGCCTTACTATGAAATTGGCTCAAGTCAGAGGGTGGTACATTGTCCTAGCCAATGAGCTCAGGGTAATTCTTATGAGCTTGATTTTGTAGAGATGTTACGTAGGAGATCTCCACCTGCCACGCCCCCTTCTGCCACACCCACTCATAGCAAGCTGCTAGAGATTCTTAAGAAAGGTCCCAAAGTAGAGAAAGGTTAACACAGCTTCTTAAAACTGCATCTACTGTATATTTCAGTTAATAATTACAAATCTACTATTAATATAGCTTCTTGTTAGATTTATGGGATATTTAATTATTAACATACTTTTAGTTATAGCTCCATTTCATTCTGTCTTGCTATTCTATCTTTTTAATTTCTAGAAACCTTTTATGATTGATGAAACATAATGCAAATTGTACTATATTCTGTTCATCTTATTCCTCTGTCTCTTCTTAAAACATTCTAAATGAAGTGATATTTTGTTTAGTTCAGCGCATTGAAAAACGGTTGCCAGGCAAGAAAGTCAAGAGAGACAGGGATGGGAGACTTGTGGGGGGTGAGAACAGAGGAAGGAAGAGCAAGAAGAGGTCAGTGTCCCCAACATGCTCTGAGAGCAGCGCTACGTCACACAGTACAATCGATTATGTTGTTCCAAAGAAGAGGGCTGGAGACAGCAGGAAGCCTTCTTCAGAGAGAAGTGAGTTTAGAGAAAATTATATTTAGCACAACTTCAGCCTCAATATAGAGCATGGCTCAACTGTGTTAGTATAGCTAAGGTAATAAGAAGTAGATTCTTTGTTTTGCGTCCTGGCAAAATCCATATCATGCAAGGGTACAAGGAAAACAAACACAAACTCAAGAAAAAACGCAAACTTGATTGCTGAGAAATGGACATTTTATGGGCATAAAAATGGGATGACATCAAGTTGCAGTGATTACAAACACTATATATTACATCTATATATCTATACGTTTAGAAATACAATATATTTAAACATAGCTATTATTCAAGGGTAAAAAATAAGAAAATACACAATGCATGCCAAAGTATCAATAACACTGTCAATTTTGACACACATCAAATTATCCACCATTTCATCTGATTTTGATTGAATGAAATGCGAATGGTACTTTCAGACCCTTGTGATTGTTATTTGGATGTGTTTGTTTTTTCTGATTTACTCAAAATCGTGCAAGCAATGGGATGCAAAACAAAGAATCTACTTCTTATGGCCTAACTGAACAACTGAGGTTTGATAAGTATATGATATTATTAAGGATATAAATATCCTTAATATGAATATAGTTTGTTTGAGAGATGATAAATTGTTCATTGGGATGTTATCCCACGTGGAGTTCCTCATTACTGATTTTTTATAAAGTATATTTTATTATATGTCCATCCTCTTTAGGCAAGCCATATTCGTGGGAGTATGTACCTGCTACAACCCCAGCTCCCCATGAGTTTCACATAGAGGAGGACCATAACCCCTACAAGTGCACCCACCCTGGTTGCAGTAAGGCATTCCGTAAAGAGAAGTTGCTTGCGTATCATGTGAAGTACTACCATGATGCAAGTGGCACGAATAAACCAAGAAAGAGACAGCATACAAGCAGCATGTGTGAGTCTGTATATTTGTCGTAATGTAATATAATGTCTATGTTTTATAGGAATCTTGTGTATCTTTAAATGATCACAATTCATGATTTGGGTTGAAAGTCAAATAAGATTTCATCATTCAAAAACCTAACTGCCAAACAAACAATTTTACAAACAAAAATAAGTTTGGCAGTTTGCATTTCAAGAGATTTGTAAATTAGTGTATGCTTGCCTCACCCAGTCAACTATTACCATTTTTGTTTGTATTTTGTCTAATGCATCCCACTAATAAGTTTGTTTGGCGGAGTTTATTTATCACACATTTCTATTATATCAGGCTCGACTGATTCGGAGGCTTCTATGACAAGTTCATCCAAGGTTCCTAAGATATCTCCTGGCAGGTCAAGACACCATTCCAGAGGGAAGAAAGGCTCAGTGTCTCAGATGTCTGAAGCTGGAGAAAATCTAGGCGACATTGGTATGGAAGGGGTCATCATAAAGGAGGAATCAGTTGAGGGTAAGCCTGCTTAAAAAGGAGATTTTCTAATACTTCATCAATTGATGATTTGCGATCACCGGATGGATTATATCGTCACAGTTAGGCCACCCAGCTCTAGATGTTTGATTTTGAGAGATTATCTTCCATATCTCGTGCTTTATTGATTTATTTTTCACAAAAGTGTTCGATTTGACTAGATCAACATTCATTCTAAGCACATGTCAAGTCTAAGATCCTGCTGACATGATTTAGATAGCAGTTAAGCACCCCCCGATTTTGATAAAAGTGTGGGGCTCTTATAGGCATCGATGTTTAGTATGAATTTCACCGCAACTTCACACATATAAAGATAAACTCATGATCTAGTCAAATCGGCATACCTGGTAAATATCCGACCCATTGCTTTCATAAAAGAAACAATAATATTTTCAGCTCAAAACTGCCATGTGTCCTCCATCATGTCTAATATCATTTTTATATGACGTCATACCAATAAGACGAAATACATGACTACAGTATCCACAAACAAAACACTTAAAATTCTGATCGCAAAAGGTCAATTGAAAACAGTTTTAATGAATCGTGAATGTTGATATGAATCAAAATGTATACCTTTCAAAAGGTACATACAGGAACTCGAAGCATATTCACATATTGAAATATGATTCAGTAAAACTATTGAAAAATTTTTTATAGGTCAAGTCCTCCTGCTATCAGTTCCTTCTTCCAATTTGCTTTTCACCTGTTGAGTTCTTGTTTTGTTTTATTGTTGCATCAGATGCTCTTCCAAGTACATCAAGTATGACAACAGACAGTGACCTTAGAGAAAGGATGCAAGTGGTGGCTGAAGAGGAGGAGGAAGAGAGTTTGTTGGAACGGCCTCCAAGGGAGGAAGTCATTAACTGTATTTGCCAAGATGAAGATGAGAATGGCCTCATGGTGCAGGTGAGTTTTATAAATCAAAAGTTTTTATTTGTCTTGTAACATTGAGGTTGCTATTGATTTATATTATTGTGACTGTGTGTTTACCACTCATCACACATCATTTTTCTAATGTTATATTAAGATGATCAAGCAGTCAGTCCATGATATTCCTGGAGGTAGTCAATCTCATGTGCCTCTATTAGACGCTTTAGATAACATTGAATTAATTGCCTCATGTTAAATGAGATACGTTTTTTTATACGTTTTATTATTTGAAGAAAATACTTTTAAATAGTTGCAACTAATTTTATCTGACAAAATGTGATGACAAAACATGTTGATGATGGAATGATTATTTAGCCAATAGTTAAAAAGTAAATGCAAAGTTTATAATGTAAATAACATATATATTTTCAGTGTGAGGTTTGCTTTTGTTGGCAGCATGCTCTCTGTTTTGACCTCTCTGAGACATCTATGCCCAAGAAATACATATGTTATGTATGCCTTGATCCACCAGGTAATAAACACATTTGTTATATAAAGAATTTAGATAAGAATTTAGAATAAAATATTAAAGGAAACATTATTGTGTAATTAAGAAAAAGGATGAATATTCATTTCGTTGAAGGAGATTCATTTTCATCATTTCTGCTGACTGATGATGGCGAACTCCCATGCAGTGTCTCAGTATAGACACTGCGGGGGGCAGATGAAGAAAATCCCAAAAGGACGATTCTCGGTTTGGAGAACGAAGTTCATCAATCTAAATGAGCATTATCCCTGCTTCGGACAAAGGACGATTCTCGGTTTGGAGAACGAAGTTCGTCAATCTAAATGAGCATTATCCCTGCTTCGGACAAATTTGATTTTTTTACATAATAAAAATTTGAATGTCTTCTTTTGAATAGTCATAATTTAATTTGGGTAATATTTCTAGATTTTTTGCAAAAAAATATTAGCGCAGTACACTGATGAACTTCTTTCCCCAAATCGAGACTTGTATTTATATTGAATAGGTCTATTTGAGCATTATCCCTGCTTCAGACCAATTTGTTATCTTTACATCTTGTAGATTTAAATGTCCTCTTTTGAATATTCATAGTTTAATTTGGGTAATATTTCTATATTTTTCATGAAAACAAATATTAGCCCAGGAGACTGTTCTCCAAACCGAGAATCGTCCTTTGATTTTTTTTTACATAATATAGATTTGAATGTCTTCTTTTGAATAGTCATAATTTAATTTGGGTAATATTTCTAGATTTTTCGCAAACAAATATTAGCGCAGTACACTGATGAACTTCTTTCTCCAAATCGAGACTTGTATTTTATTGAATCTGTCTAATTGAGCGTTATCCCTGCTTCAGACCAATTTGTTATTTTTACATATTATAGATTTAAATGTCCTCTTTTGAATATTCATAGTTTAATTTGGGTAATATTTCCATATTTTTCATGAAAAAAATTATTATCCCAGGAGACTGTTCTCCAAACCGAGAATCGTCCTTTGGTGAAAATAGTTCCCCTTTTCATCGTATATGTGGTCAATTTTCACACAACTTATATAATATGTATTAATGAATGTTCCCCAATCATTATTTTGTCAAAATATCTCAAAATTATTTAAATATAAGAAGAAATCACCGTGGAAGGAATTCTGAGTAAAAGTTGTGTTGATGATAGTTTACCGCACGTGTTGTTTATTAGTTAATACGCGCAATTCAACCAATGAAATTGTCTAAATTTTACAATCACGCAACCTGAGCATGGGACTAGAACCAATCACGTCAGTTGTTTATTACGACGTTACCATGCTTACGGTGAGATACCTGCCCACCGCAGTGATATCACTGCACGTTTGTGATGATGGGTAACAATTATTAAAAAAGATTAAGTAAAGGTATGTGAATGATTGGGCATAATGGTTCAATGTTATCCACATGTATATATACCATTTCCAATGCAGGTATCCGTGATAGCGCAAGGTCGATCCATGACCAAGACTGGTTCAAGTATGGCGTATTGGCAAGGTTTAACTTCCTCCCTCCACAAGATGAGGAGAGTCCTGCCATGATGAAGGCAGCACATGATCTCATGGCAGACATGATCAACATCAAATCTGTACTGACTGGTCTTAGTAGGAAACTTCTCATACTCAAGTATGTTAATACGGCTGTACATGTATATCATTTGACTGTGCTCAATTGATGTGTAAAATATTTTTGATTAGTTTTTATGGTTCATTTAATGTTGTTAAATATGATGTACATGTAGTTTTCATTATGGAGAGTAGGGTCATGTCCTGAATATTTTACATACAGTTGGTTGTCTTCTTTTGTGATTCTATTCTATAGCATTAGTACAGCTAGATGGGTAGATTAATTCAGGGACAGCAATTCATGAGAACATGTACATGTATATCTGTAATTCTAAAGCTAATGTGTTAAATTGTTTTAAATGAATTATTTGTGTTTCAGAAACAAGGAGCACCCAGACATGAAGCTGTGGGTGAAAGATTGGGACAGAGAGATGGAGCGGGAGAAAGCTTTAGCTGCTGCCATGGAGATAGACAACATCCCCATGGCAACAGATGACTTTAGTAATGTCCGCTTTACCCTAGGCGATGAACATTCCCAGCATTCCTTGTTCAGTGATGTCATAGAGACAACAGATAATGATACTCCAACAGACAGACTTGATATTGGTGCCATCATGCAACAAGAGGATTCCAAAATGGAGCCTTCAAAGGCTTCTGTTGACAATAAAAGCACCATTAAAGAAAACTACAGCAAAGACTCTATAACAGGAGAATTTAACATTGACTCGGCTGATAAGGAAAATATTCAGTTGATTGATAAAGACTCTGAAGCAAATATTAATGTTCTTGATGATACAGATGATGCCATTGATGTAGTTGGCACAGATAACAATATTGGTGATTCAGAAGCTACCAATCATGTGACTATTAACTCAGATAAAGAAAGAACACTTAATGGTGGTGAAGTAGCACAAAATGGTGTGGGGGCTGACCATGAACCTAAGGGAGATAATACCACCCCCAGTGTCTCAAGTGCTGCGCCCCCTAGTACACTTAGCCTGGGACCTCCCAGTGGCCAAGACTACAAGCTGTCACCGCTGCCTAGCAGTGTACGGATTGGGAGCAGTGTTTGGACACCTGTTGCTGCTGTCAAGGTAAGAATAGTGCTACGGCAGGTTGTAAAAGCCTAGTAAGTGGGAACCCTGTCATCAAGAAGTGAAGGCATTATTTTAGCCAAAGTTTTTGTTCAGTGTTGGCACTGCACTTAATGTAACCTGCCTCATGTAGATTAACATGTTCCAGTGCACTAGTGGTGTACCAAGTGTCTCAATCATTGACTCGATTATTTATCACCAAATCCACTGCAAATGAGTACTCCAGTTGAAGAACTCAAATCAATTTGATCACATATGATGATGGTGAATGTATCCTCATTTTTCAGAATCTCACCAACTTTGATGCTCAGCAAGAAGATGATTCTATTTCTACAGTTGCCGATTCTGAGAGTAACTTTGCCAACTGTGAGAAGCACCTGACTGAACATATACAGCGGGTACAAGAGGAGCTTGATACACGGCTGGATCTTATAGAAGATCAACTAGATGGTATGTGGTGTGTTTGTGTATGTGACATGTTTTTATGTGTGTCATTCTGACACCAAATCTCTGTTTCACATGCATGATCTCATGGCTAAGAAGAATTGAGGTGTTATGATTTATGATGGATAGATGTGATGTTTTTTATGTTGACTCTTTTTGTGCAAGACTGATTTTCTCTATGTCTACCCATATTATGCTGTCTTCATTATAATAACCTGCCATAACTTAAACCTATAAAATGGTAACTGGACGTAAAAATTAATTTTTATATTTGTTTTTTTCAGTGCTAGAGACAGTGAGTGGAGTAAATGTTCCTTTGAACCAAGACATTCTATCTGATGTGCCACAACTCAAGAGATCTCTTAGAACTCTGTTGTCTGACTTGGGCAAAGTGAAACACATGGCAACATACCATTAGGCAAAGTGAAACACATGGCAACATACCATTAGGCAAAGTGAAACACATGGCAACATACCATTAGGCAAAGTGAAACACTTGGCAACAAACCATTAGGCAAAGTGAAACACTTGGCAACATACCATTAGGCAAAGTGAAACACTTGGCAACATACCATTAGGCAAAGTAATATATTAGGAGACCAGAGTTCCAAGTGGACCATATTTTCTTATACATTCAGAATTTGTTAGATGCTGAATTGTTTGTGTACAAAGTACATTATGTTTCATATTTACATTTGTTGTTTATTAGTAATCATGTTCTCAAAATCTTTCAATTTAAAGAAATCATTTTAGTAGAAGCACTTGAACTGCACAACTAAATGTACATACCATTGTATAGTGTACTATCTATATGTAGATTATGTTGAACACTAGATGTACTTTCATAATATATTTCTAGTTTCTAGGACATCATTAGTGTCTTGATATCTTCAATATACTGTGAATTTTCACTGCAAATTGTATTTCAATATTGCCATAGTCTGTATTTTGCAGATTATACATTTTTTGTTGTATAACAATTTATTGTATGGATATTGCTGTAATTATGTATAGCGGGGATAGCTACAAAAAACTTTTTTGGGGTATTTGCTGTTATAATCGTATCTGAATGTTATCTGGCTGATATGATGATCATAATTTGAAGGATACTAAATTTTCATGTTTTGAATTTACTGCCTAAAGGGTTTTAATAAGAGCCTTACCTGATTGACAATTTTTCTATAAATGTGTTTCAGAATGGTGTACCAGTATATGTAATTTCTATAAGTTATTTTAGTTGAACTCAATTATCAGAATTTCTTCCATCAGATCTGGAGTACAGTAACTTTTAATGAAAAATTAGAACCCATGAGACCTCATCTAAACCATCGTGGCACTTGTATCCCTGTATATTCTTATTTCTTTACAATAAAGAATATTTTACATACTGAATCTATTTAAATGTTAAGTTTATGGTCTTGCAAGAACCAAACATTGGGTAAAGGAACTCTGACGTTAGGGATGGTCTTCAAAAGTCAACAATTGTGGAATAGACTTGATGCGAGTAGAAATAATATGATTTCCGTCATTAAATATTCAAAATCTAGTCAAAGTGATATCATATTTGAAGTATACATGTAAAATTACAATCATGAGAAATGTGGTTTAAAAAAGTATTTATCAACTTTTTTTTAACAAAATTTAATTTTCTTAAAAATGTGACTTCTAGTATTGGAGAGATAATTTTATTGTTTCCCTAACATATTTTCATTTGTATAATTATCAGACACATAAGAGAAAATTGATCCAATTCAAGTTAAAGGCAATTTATATACCTGATGTTAATTGACCTGAATGAGCCACCTGGTGATGAAACTGGTAACTACCTACTCGCATCTGAGTTATTACAAGAGGGAATAAATAATGATTTCACAGGTAGACTTTTTTATGAAAAATTAATTTTTAAGGCAAATCAGTATTTTTTAAATGTATGGGGAAGGACCCGGAAGGTGGATGGGTTTTAATTCTCGCAAATGTCAACATTTGGATACCATTCCAAATTTGAATCCTAAATTAGTAATAATCAGGGTTCAATGAGATATTTAACTTCTCACTAACTGAAAATTTTGTGTATAATCCCCAGATTATCAAACCACCTCAGCACATTTTGAACAAACAAAACAAAACTAACAATCGGCAACTCCATGGAATAGCAAACGCTATATCCATGAATCTTTATATATCAAAATGTAGTATTTATCATCTACTCTACCCTTGATTTGATGATTGGAGATATATCAGAATTTCTCCAATTTAAGCACATGGGTGATAATTTAGGAGTTTCAAAGGCTCCAATCAAAAAGACAATATAATATTTGAGATCTAATGTAGTGTAATGTAACCATACTCTGAAGAGATCTCTTAATTCCAGGCACGAATCAGAAAAACAATACCATACATTAATTGTGATCTACTCTGAAATTCCTTCAATTTGAGTATAATATAGCTATATACTCCTAAAAAAAAAGTTAAGGACCTCATAGGTTTACATGTTAACCCCCATATTTGTTTAACGACTGTTTTCTAAGCGGGGAACAAAAGAAATCCCAATAAAGTAAACAAATCTGTATCTTGATTCTATTCCCTATAAAGTCCGCAATGTTTCAATGTTATATCTCCATTACATTCTGTCAAAATTGATGAATTTCATGAAATGTAACAAAAATGGCAGATCCCATGTTAAACAAATGGGGAATGGTGGTATAGGGGCAACTCAGATTTTGGAATATCTATTCCGCAAAACATTTATTAATAAAAATACTTTCTAAATAAAGTGGAAAATTGAATGATTTTACATGCTAGATGTCTCGCTTATGTTGTTAAAATTAGCGATATGGAGCGTTAAAGTAATTTTGACCACCTCACTGAACCACCTGTGTTATTTCAATAAGAGGTTCATTAAAAAATTATTGAATTTGAAACCATTAACTTTTGTAAAGCCTGAACAATTAAATCATATTTTTGTCGAGTAGAGAATTTAGTAAATTTAATTATCTCTTACAATCAATTTTGAGAGCAATTGGTTGGATGGATCATTCCTCATATGACTTATGGCAACCCAACCATTCCCCATTTGTTTAACATGGGATCTGCCATTTTTGTTAAATTTCATGAAATTCATCAATTTTGACCCAATGTAATGGAGATATAACATTGAAACGTTGCGGACTTTATAGTGAATAGAATCAAGATACAGATTTATTTTCTTTATTGGGATTTCTTTTGTTCCCCGCTTAGAAAACAGTCATTAAACAAATATGGGGGTTAACATGTAAACCTATGAGGTCCTTAACCTTTTTTGAGGAGTATATAATTCGAAGAGATCAGGAAAACTTGCGAAATCCCACATTAGGCAGCCAAATTATTGTAAAATCCCACATTAGGCAGCCAAATTATTGTGAAATCCCACATTAGGCAGCCAAATTATTGTGAAACCAACATTAAGCAGCCATTTTGAATTTTTCATGACACTGATATCAGAAAAATCATACAAAATTTGCAATCTACTCTAAATTGCCTTTTACATGTATTTGAGTATTATAAAACTATACTTCAGAAAGATCTCAAAATTAACAAAATTCCTGAGGGTTAGGCTTAAAAACACAGAATATGTGTGAAATAAATATATGTTGTGAATATACTATACTAAAACTATTCACCAATATACAGCTTTCCACCAAATATGAAGAAAACCCATCCACTATTCGAGTTATTTTCTCAACAGTCAGTCAGACATCTTTAGATTTCTGCTTGTATTGTTAGCTAAGAGTATCATTGTACTTCTATTACCGGTATTTGGAATTTTTTTATTAGCCATGTTGTACCTCATTAATGTGCCATATCAAACCACTTTGCCACGTGTTTGGCCAATTTAAGCGACGCCTCATTCCCTGGGAACACGTCCTCCAGGCTCAGAGCTCAGCTAAAGGAGAATGGTTTGGTATGCTACATTACACAGATGGACTGACAGAGATACGGCTTCACTAATGTATATCCCTACCTAACTTTGAAACTACTTGAAATCGATTACTTGTAGTGTAGTCTAAACATCAGAGACTGTGCCTGACATTGATCATTTCTAATCCCTCCCTTGATAGACTAATAGCTGGGTGATATTCATTGCAGAGATCTTGTTACCGAGACATAAACAAGACTATATTTAGCAAATATAGAAGGTGTGTATTTTTTATAAAAAAACGGTTTCAATAGGAAAGGTAACAGTATTGAACAAATGACTTCATCAACGATTAACATAATTGTACAGTTGACTTCAGTTATAGCTTATCGTTAGTACAGTTGATTTCAGTTATCGTTACTGTACAGTTGACTTCATCAGAGATTAACATAATTGCACAGTTGACTTCAGTTATAGCTTATCGTTAGTACAGTTGATTTCAGTGATTGTTACTGTACAGTTGACTTCATCAGAGATTAACATAATTGTACAGTTGACTTCAGTTATAGCTTATCGTTAGTACAGTTGATTTCAGTGATTGTTACTGTACAGTTGACTTCATCAGAGATAAACATAATTGTACAGTTGACTTCAGTTATAGCTTATCGTTAGAACAGTTGATTTCAGTGATTGTTACTGTACAGTTGACTTCATCAGAGATTAACATAATTGTACAGTTGACTTCAGTTATAGCTTATCGTTAGTACAGTTGATTTCAGTGATTGTTACTGTACAGTTGACTTCATCAGAGATAAACATAATTGTACAGTTGACTTCAGTTATAGCTTATCGTTAGTACAGTTGATTTCAGTTATCGTTACTGTACAGTTGACTTCATCAGAGATAAACAAAATTGTACAGTTGACTTCGGTTATCATTATTGTACAACTGATTGCAATATCATTTGTTATATTGTTCATGATTTTACATTGTACTCATATTACATATAAAAATAGACATCTTAATTCTAGTTGAGAAAAGCTGCACATTTTAAGCTAAATATAAACTATATTATAAAGTAACTAGATGTATAAGATTGCAAGCAATCTTACGGAGGCCCCGTAGGCTTTTTTGAACATTTAAAGGTCAGCCAAAGGTCAAATCTTAAAACAAGGTCATATATGAACTCCAGGCATCTTGTAGATGATTTTAAAAAAAAAGTTTGGTCAATTTGAAGCAATGTGAAATTTTACCTTGAAAAATTTCAACATTAGACCTTTTTCAGTTTTTGAGGTCCAATATCTCAAAACTGGGGCAGAATTTTAATAGCTAATCAATTGTTAATATGTGTAAAACCTTGAGAGGAATATATATCCTGACTTTAGTTCAAAAATATTGATTTGTAGTCACAAACTTTGAGAAACTTAGAAAACACAGTTTGTGATCTTGTTTGATGACCTTGACCTTGAAAATTTTACTTTTTTAGACCTCAGTATATCTTTTCTGATTGAATAAACCTAAATTTGAATCCAGAAAATCAATTTGAAAAATCAACTTTTTTGACATTTCGAAGGTCA